AGGGCGATGAGACTCTTAAGTCCCTTGCTGCTGGTGCTCCCATCTTTCCCAAATGGGGCCAACGTGCACCCTCTGCTGTATGAGGTCTCTCTGTGCTGTCTGCTGAGCGGCTGCCCCAGCCATCTTTGTAAAGTTCCGCCGGCCCCAACTGCCCTTGGCCCCCTCTTCCAGCTGCCCAAGTTCTACCCCATTGCAAATGCATTCCACCTCAAGTCCCTCCTCCTCCCAGAAGCCTTTCCCACACACTGTAGCCCCTAACTGTAGTCCCCAGTTCAGCCTGGACCAGAAAGGGGTGGACATGGATGGGGCTAAGGGCCTCGTCTTCCAGGCTCTGCTGGAGATAGGAGAAGGGGAAGGTTACTTTGGACCTGGAGCTATTTTCTGCTGGTCATCCCCTCAGTGCCCCAGACCCATAGGGAACAGGGGCCGGGGCGGGGGGGTGGGGGGCTCTCAGAGTCCTGCTTACTGCTCCCAGAAGCCTGAGGGGCTGAGCTGAAGGAGGGAGGGCCTGAGCTCTGGTGAGCGCTGATCAGTTGTACCAAGGGAAATCTGTGCTCTGGCAACTTGCAGGGGCTCCAGGTCCCCAGAAACATGTGGGAGTCTCGATCCAGATCCTGTGTCTGTACTTAGGAGCTGGTTATTTGGGACAGGATACTCTACCTCTCTGGGTCTCAGTTTTCTCATCTGTAAAGTGGTAAAGGTGTCAGTTATTTGGAGGGGTGTTGTAGAGTAGGTGAGATAACTGACACATAGTGTCTAACACACCAAAGAGGAGGTATTCCATAAACAGTTGCTCTTACATAGTGTAAATAATACTAGCAATGTCAAGTTCCCGGCCCCCTCAATTTCTGACTGTGCAACTTTGAACAAATTCCTTGTGTGTTCATTTGCATCCTCATCTATAAAGTGAAGATTGTGTTTCACCCATGTACTCAATAAATAATTATGGAGTAACTTATGATGTGCTGGGCATTACTAAACCTGTCATTTACTGTTAGTTCAAAGATGCAGCCCAGTGCCTGGCATATACTAGGTAATCAATAACTGTCTTACATAAGTCACAGCTGGACAGTGGGAGATAGAGGGGTTGGCACAGAAGAAGGGGGAGGGTGGAAGGCTGGGCCTGCCTCACATTCTCAGCTTCCTTCCCACCCTTTCCCCCTTCCATCAGTATAGCCTCACTTTGGGGTGCCTGGGTGGCTCAGTCGGTTCAGCGTCTGCCTTCAGCTCAGGTCATGATCCCAGGGTCCTGGGATCGAGTCCTGCATCGGGCTCCCTGCTCACAGCGGGGAGCCTGCTTCTCCCTCTGCCTGCCGCTCTCTCTCTGTCTCTGACAAATAAATAAATAAAATCTAAAAAACAAAATAGCCTCACTTTGCCTCTAAGCGAGGGGGTGAATGGTGCTGGGGTCTCTGAATAGTTTACTGTCCCTTCTGCCCCTTGGTCCCATGAGACCATGTGTGTAGACTAGATCATCTGTCCATTGCCTATAAAATGGAGATAATGGTGCCTCTTTATTCTCAGACACTGGGGACACTGCCACAGTGCCCACCTCATTAAGAGTGGTCTCCTCACCAAGCTTTTCTGCTGCCTTATGGTCTTGGCTCCTCTCCCAGGGACCACAGGCTGGACCCAGAGTCACCTCTGGCTCCTTAGCACTGAAGCCCCACACCCTTCCCTTTTGACTCTGCCCAGCCCCCAGCCATACTAGACCGGATCCTCATGGGGGGTTCTGTGTATGCATGTGCGTAAGCAGCATGAGACCTGACACATAGGAGGTCTACAATACAATTTGATTGGATGAATCCACAACGGATGCCCCCTCTGCAAATGGGCCTCATTCATTCAACCAACCAACATTTATCCAACTCAAAATCCATTTGGTGCCAAGCTCTACGTCAAGGGCCATGGCACTGACATCGCCAATAGCCAAGCTGGCCATGGCACTGACATCGCCAATAGCCAAGCTCTCCAAAGACTGACTGTCACTCACGGGTTTCCTGCTCTCAGCACCTCCTCATCCCCACCAGGCCGCCTGACTCTCAGACCCCCAGCCCCCTCCCTCACGCCCAGAGACCAGAGTACTGGCACCACCATGGATTTGAGCTGCAGCAGAAGGTGGAGTGCCAAGTCACTGGGTTTGGGGTCAAATCCTAGTGCCATCAATCACCCTGTGCCCTTAGGCAAGTTATTTAACTTTTCAGAGCTTCATTGCTCTCATCTGGAAAATAGGCGTGCATCAGATTGCTTATCTCATATTTGCTATAACGAATAAATGAGATAAGGCGTATGCTTTATAGCACATAGTACATGCTCAGTGAACATGAGCTATTCGTGATGGTTATGACTCCTCTCTGTCACGCATGGCTCAGCAGCTCCGACGGCCACAGTTTTTTCCCTGGGTTCTGCGTTTCAAGTCATAAGCAAGCCACGGGGATCCCACACTACTCCTAATTATAAGAGGAGTCAATTACTTCTTTGGCCTTCCAGAACCTCTACCCATTTTCCTCTCCCAGGCCCCCCTTGCACCTTTGGCCCATTTGAGGCAAGTAGCCAGGTGGTGGGGCAGGGAACAGCTGACAGACGTCAGCCATGCCCACATGGAATCCCAGAGCCAGAGTGGGTGGCTGGGTGCATGGTGGGGGGGAGGGGAGAGGTTCTGGGAGAGGACAGTGCCTTGCCCAGGGCTCTCTCAGAGATTTCTGGCTCTGGGCGTCCGTTTCCTCTTTAGTGAAATGGGGACCATTCTGTAGGTTTATTTTCCCTGACTGTTGTAAAGCCCAGAGGCTGTAAGTCTAGAAACAGTCTTGCCCTCAGAGACGAAAAACAAGTTTGGGAGGTAGAAATGGATGTCTTCCCTCAGAGCTAGGTGTGCCCAGACCTGGGTGGGGACTGCCTGGCCTACCCCTTCCCCGTGGTCAGACAGGGCAGGCCCCAGCTGGCCCCTTCCTCAGGGGACCCCCTGGCATGCTTCCTCTGAGCCACGTCCTGTCACTGAACTGTCTGAGAGTGGCCTGGGGCTGACAGAGGGGCTCAGACCCCTGGCTCTCAGGCCAGGCCCTGGCAGAGTTAGCACGCCCCACCCCCCCAACCCATGGATTTCCACCCCGGAGGCTGCAGTGTGGCTAGCTCTTCAGGGCTCTGACCTCTGAACTCAGCCCAGGCCTGAGGGGAGACCCCCACACTGCAGTCGGCACATCCTAGGCCCGGCCCAGAGCATGCTGATAGCATCACTGGTCTCTGCTCCAGACTGGCCAGCACCATCTCTCTGTCTCCCCACTGCTGGGGCTCAGGCAGGGGTGGTGGCGCTGCCAGGAGCAGAGACCCCTCCCAACGGGTCCCGGGCAGCTGTAACTCTGCCTTAGTTGAAATGCGCAGCAGGAAAACCCCCGAGGAGTGACGTCCACCACCTCCCTGCTCTGAGCGAGGGGCGGCAGATTGAGCCGCAGCGATCTCCGGGCCGCAAGCTGCCATCAGGGGACAAAGCAAAGCAGTGACCCAGGGATGGCTCCCAGTCGATGGGAGTGGCTTCTTCCCCACCCCCACTCCATGCTTCTCACCCTGGAAAACACTGGAATCCAGGTTGGGGTCACACTGACCACAGTGCCTGTCCAGTGCCTTGGCGCTTACCAAGCGCCTTTTCATTTCCTATCTTGTCGAAGCCCCACAGCAGCCGGTGAGGTAGGTGAAGACTATCAGCCTCATTTTATAGACGAGGTAGATGGGCTCAGAGAGGCAAATGGACTTGCTCAAGGTCACACAGCTGCTAGATAGCAAAGCCAGGTACAGCCTGGAAACCACACACTCATGGGAGGCAGGGTGGCACAGACTCTGTGACTTTGGGCCAGTCACGTGACATCTCTGAACCTCAGTCTTTTCATCTGAAAAATGGGGATAGTAAGAGTTCCTATCTTACCAGGTTATTGTGAAGATCAAATGAGATAATGCTCTAAAACATACTCGGTACAGCAGTGGCATAGAGGCCTGCCCAATCACCGTGAGCAATGATTATGATTATTATCTCAAGGATATCCAGATGCTGTTCCTGTGGAGGCCACACCCCAGATGAAGCCTTGTTACCTGTAGGGTCCCATCTTGTCTCTGTTGGTGGTATCTGAGACCTGTTAAAGTGGGCTCACGGTCCTTGTGTGAAGAAGCAGGGGCAGCGTAAGGCCGTAGGATTCCTCTCTGGGTCTGCCTGCCAGGAGAAGGAGTTCGGGAGCCTACCTGTAGCCCTGGTTCACAGCCCCCCAGTGGCTTCTGCCTGCTTTCTCACATGGGCCTCAGGTCTGCACCGGGCCAAGTCAGGCATTGGCTGAGGCTCTGCCCTGAGTCTTCCATCCTTAGGGGACAAAGCTGAAGATGGGGGGTGGGAGGATTGGGGGTGATCGAGTCTCTCCAAACACGCCCCTGCCCAACCTAGCCTGCCTGGTCCTCCAGGGTCTGGGGAAGCCCATCTCTCCAGCATGGACGCCTGCCCCATGGGAGCAGCTTGCTCCTTCTCTGTGTCCTGGGTAACCCTGAGATGGAAGTGGGGGTGGGGTAGGGTTGTATATCTCCAGGTAAGTTTGCCTTTGGGAAGGAGAGGCAAAAGTCTGCCTTGTAGGAGTAGGAAGCATGGGGGGGTGGATGTAAATGATCCTGGGCCCAGCTGGGGTGACACCACCCCCAGGCCCTCAGTCCTGCAGTCAGACCAATGGTTAGCCTTGGCCTTGGGCACCACTCCTGGGGAGCCTGCCACCTGCTGATAAACCCCCTTCAGGACAGAGCCCAGGCCAGCAGCCAGACTCCACCACTAGGCTCAGGGCCCTGGAAGAGGAATCCCAGGTTAGGCCTCTCCCACCGAATTTACATACTTTTGGACACCCCTTTCAGGAGCCCTGCAATGACAAGCGAGGGCGGGCGGTTCTGGCCATACATCCTGGGACCTAGATGGTAAGGAGGCATCTCTCTAAGATGAGCTCCGTGAAGGCTCTGGGGCCTTTGGGGCTAGATCCTTTGCATTTTAAAATTTTATTATGACTGTGTTTGTTTAAATATATATATATATATTTATAGCTCTATATGCCCACCGCCCCCCAGACCCCTCCCCGGCCCCTAGTTTTTCCCCTTGGCTTTCTGTTTGGCAGCCGTGTAGGGCAGCAACGTCTGGGTGCTCTTGTCTGACACCGTTTGGGTGCTACTGTTCCTTGTGACCCTTCGGGTCTGCTCAGGGGCCAAGGTGGGGCCTGAGCGGCGGCTGGTCAACGGAGAGCGCCTTGGCTTGTGGGGAGCAGGGAGGGGCTTGAGGGGGTCCACATGGGCCTCTGGACGGGGCGGCTCTGGGGACAGGCCCACCTCCTCCTCGGCCACCTCCCCCTCGCCGTCCCCTTCCTCATCGTCACAGCACAGAGCGTGGTAGAGCACTTTGTCGCTGAACCGCACCCTCTCGCGCGTGCCTGGGGTCCGCTGGGGCAGCTGGCCCTTCACAGGGCCAGCACCGAAGGCCTCCTCACTGGAGGAGTCCGGGGTCTCCACCCGTGGCCCATTGGGGATGGGCGTGCCGCCATTCATGAGCCGGTAGTCAGGGCCAGCCCCTGGTCGGGTCAATTCGGGGCCGTCCACGGAGTCCGAGGGGGTGGACGCGTCCAGGAAGGAGCAGAACTCCCAGCTGTCCGAAAGGATGTCGGCTGTCATGAAGTCCAGGTGCCCCAGGTCGAAGGGGCCGCCCACGCCCGCCTTGTCACTGCTGGAGGTGCTGCTCACAGTGGCCGTGGTCCAGTCGTCTGGCTCCAGTTCAAAGTCGAAGTCTGAGGTTAGCTTATCGATCTGGCTCACCACCTGGCCAGGGAAGGAGAGAGGGGTGAGGGGGTCTAGCGTCATGTGGGGGTGAGCATGCCCCCGTCCCACCCTGCTAGATGCCTGGCTCAGGACCCCAGAGGATGGTCACAGGTTTGCCTGCCTGGTAAGGGCCCGTGTTGGACCAGGGTGAGCAGGTTTGGGCCAGTTCCCCATTTCCTACTCCTCAGCCCCTCCTTCCAGCCCTGTACCCCATCCCCCCCACACCCCTCTCCCCCAAAGCCGGCTGCTGCTCTGGGCGCAGGCCTGGTGCTCAGAGCTCCATTTTCCTTGGATTGAGAGGTAGCCGTTTGCAGAGGGCTGGCACTCCAGCAAGGCCACTCAGTGGAGAGATGAGCAGGCCACGCACCTTTGGAGAGGAAATGATACGGGGTGACCATGAGGAAGACTCTGCCCAGGTTTTCCAAAGCATCCTGGACCAGCCTGTGCCGCTGGTCAGTGGCTGTCCCTGTGGGTCTCCACCACCGCACCCCCACAAACCCTGGAACCCCCTCCCTCCTTCACTTCCCCCTGATGAGTGGAGATTAACCCTGGCTCCTTGGGGAAGGAATAAGACAAGCAATAGGAAACCGCCCCCCATCCCGGGCCCAGAGCCTCTCGTTACATGCACTCAGGGGGCACCTCAGCTGCCGAGGTCAGTGCACCCCAAAGGGACACACTGTCTCCATACAGGTGGCCTGCCTCAGGACACCCCCTCGCCTTGGCCCCACAGCACAGAAATTGGGGATGAAGACTGTGAGGGGAAAAGGGGACCCCATCAGAGATGTTGGGAGAGGACCGAGTAAGAGAAGGAGAAATGATTCTGACCAAAACCAAAACCAGCCAAACAACAATAGCCAAGCAGAGGGACCAAGAGACCTAAGGACAGGACATACACAGTGAGTCACCAAGCCCAGGATCCAGCTCCAGGCTCCTCTCCGGTGCCTTTTCCCAGGGTCAGAGCAGTCAGTGAATGAGTTAGCTAAGGAAGTTCCTAGTCTAACGAACTTTTATGAGGATGACTGCTGTCCAGGGATGTGCTAGGTGTTCGGTGAGGGGTGGGGTGGGGTGGGGAGCGCCCCAAAGTGCAAGACGAAAGCAAGGCCAAAAACCATGGGCCAGGAGGAAGTTTCCTTGGTCAGGAGTTGGGGGGGCGGTCTGCCAGTGACCTGGTCATTTTCCCTCTGAGGCTCAGTTTCTCAATCTGCAAATGGGGACCTTGGGCGAATGGTTTATTTCCAAGGTTCCTTCCATCTCTGAGATTCTAGGACTCTGTGTTTATAGGGATGCCTTGAGAAGCTGTTTTGGGGTGTCCATGCCTAGGGATGCCCACTCCCCATGGCCCCAGGCCCCAGGGGTGGTGGGGACACTTGGCTGAAGCCTGCAGAACTGGGAGAGTCAGGACATTTGCGTTCCAGATTCAGCTTAGACATTGTTCTGTGTGTCTTTGGGTAAGTCACATAACCTCTCTGGACCTCAACTATTTGAGTGTGATGACCCCAGCTCTGTCATCCTCATCAGCGCTTCACGAAGAACAATGAGGAGGGCAGTGAAAAGTCTCCATGGGGCACTGGTGAGAAAAGTGACATCAACTCCCATCTCGGAGCACCTACCAAGTGTCAGGCTTTCCACCCATGAGATCATCATCTCCTGAGCTTCTAGAAGACACACCAGAGGTACCAGTAACTGGAGGGAGCTGAGGTTCCCACCCCCTCCCGCTGCTCCCCTGCAAGACTGCACACCACCATGAGGTGCTGCTGGGATTTCTGGGCTTGGGCAGACAATGGGGACAGGGCCCCACTCTCCAATCTGCCCTCCCTGTCTTATGTCCCCCACCCCCGAGTGACTCCCCCTCCCTCAGAGAAGCTCACATCCCCTAGAAACCCCTGGCTCAACCCAAGCCCCACTTGAGGGGTGGGAGCTCCAGCCCAGAGCAGAGGGCTCTCACTTGGGAGTGTGCACCAGCCCACTCCCCAGAGTTTCTGATTCAGTAGGTCTTGGTGGGGGGGAGGGGGAGGGGGCTTGAGAAGGCGTATATAAAACGTGTTTCCAGGTGCTGATCCAGGAGCATACTTTGAGAACCACTGGCCTGGGGCCTGGGATTTAAGCTGGTGAAGACCTAGAACCTCAGGGCATTGTCAGCCTGAGGGGAGGCCCTGCATCTCTGGGGCAGTCACACCCTCAAATGAGACTCCCCTGATCAAGCTGAGCCTGAGTCTGCTGCTACAGAAGCGTGGGGACACTGCTAACAGGAATCTGGTTGAGTGGTGGGCTATGACAACACAGGGCTGGCTGAGGCTAGGCTGGGCCCAGAAGCGGAGCTCCTAATGCCCTGTGAGGAAGACCTGGGGTGCACAGGGCAGGATCCCTAAAGCTGTCAGGCCTGGACACACTCCTTCCCACCCAAGAAGCTCCTGCTGGCCACCTGCTCAGGCAGGCAGCCTTCCCATAAAGGCCCTTCCCCTTCTCCATTAGAGCGCCCTCCTCCGGTTTCATCCTGAGGGTGTGGAGGGACAGGACAGAGGGAAGCTAGGGCTCAAATCCCAAGTAGGCCACGTCTCGGCTAAGGAACTCGAGGCAGGCGATTTTCCCTCTCCAAGTCTCGGTGTCCTAAAATGGGATGCCCCTCCTCTACTCACCAAGGTGATGGGGACTCACTAGATATGGATGTGCTTTAAACTGCAGAATCGGCATTGCCAAGCACTCCAGAACCTGGGCCCTGGAGTCAGACTTAGGGTCCAACCCTGGCCTTACCATTGACGGGCTGTGTGACCTTAGCCAAGTTACCCAGCGTCTCTGTGTCTAAGTGTCTTCATGAAGGGGAATTCTAGTCGCACCTACTTGATAGGGCTGTTGTGAGGATTTAATGACATGACACACGGGAAGCAGGTAGAACAGCGCAGACTAGATCAAAACCCACTGTGCACCCATGGGGGCTAAAATGTGACCAGGCCCCTGGCATCAGGCCCAAGAGCTGATGGGAGTTTCCAGTGCCTGTGGCGGAATAATGGGACATATTGGGCATTTCAAGTCCCAGCACATGGGTGGCACCTGCGCTCCCTAAAGTAGGTTTGTCTCCGGACAGAGCAGAAGGAAGCAGAAGAGGTTCTTTTTTTTTTTTTTTTTTTTGAAGCAGAAGAGGTTCTAAAAGCCAGGCGGTAATGAAGCTCAAAGGCGAATCTGGCCCCGACCGTGGGGAACAGGCACACCCACCTGATGAATGGCGTAAGTGAGGATCCCAAAGGGCAGTGATGTGCCAAGCGCACCCAGGCTGCATGCAGGGTCCCTGTACCTCATCTCATGCAGCCTGTGCGGATGGCAGAGGGCGGGCAGGCCCCCACCTTACCCGCCTGTCTGCTTCGGATGCCTCGAAATCTGTGATTTCTCCCTGAGATTTAATAATCATTTTGCCTGCGTGTAATTTGGGATTGTCTTGGAGTGCAGGGAAATAATTATACATACAGAAGGAAAGAGAGGGGGAGAAGAGAGAATGGAGAGAGAAATGACAACATAAAAATCATAGAACCATAGAACCTCAAAGCCAGAGGGATGGAGATGCTGCTGACTTCACCGTTCTCACTGTGCTTGCTGATGGGGAAACTAAGGTAAGGCCCAGACGCTGGAAGGAGCGGAGCTGAGAGCACAGGTCAAGAGTCCTGGCACCTTAAGAACAAGACTCGCCTGATCTAGAGGTGAAGGGCAGGGCTGAGGGCTGTGACACCTGCGGGGGGTCCCAGGCCCCATCCCGAGGGCGTCCCCAACCGCTGTCCTGCTCACAGCTTCAGCTCCCTCACCTGAACCACTGTCCCCACCTGGTGGCAGCTTCCTGTCCTGTTCCTGCTACATTCAAGGCACTTGGTAATCAGCCAACAAGACCACGTCACCCCTCTGCTTCCAGCACTTCCCTGAGCCTCGCAAACACAAACCCTTACCAACTCTGGCCACAGGGCCTTTGCTCTCCAGCAGGCAGCCACCACCCTGCCAGGCCTGCCTCCTCACCAGCTCTACACACTCCACCGAGCCCGCTTCAGCCTCTGGGCCTCACCTGGAATGCTCCTTCCTTGGCTCCTCATCCATCTCACTTCCAGAAGGAAATCTCTGATGCTCCACTGAGGATAGGTTCCCTATGACAGGCTCTCAAGGCACTCTGCACCTTTCCTACAAATATTTTCCAATATTTATCACGGCTACACTTTTATGTGCATATATGTTATAAGAATGATGTCTCCCCACTGGACTATAGTAAGCCCCACGAGGGGTGGGACTGGGAACGCCTTGCCCACCATGGCAGCCCCAGTCTGGCACAGGGATTGACACACTCTTTGTGAATACAGCCATTGGATGAGTGGGTGAGTTGGGACAGAGGGCCTTATAAAAACTGCTGGGGGCTGCTTTTCTGAGGAATTCCACGGTCCTTTCTTGCCTGCCCCAGCCCTCCCGCCAGCCCTGGTTGAGCCCCCACTCCAAAGAAAACACATCTGTGTTCCCTAAGGCCCCAGAGCCAGGATTCAGGACCCAGGAGTCCCAGCACTGGCATCTCCCTCACCTCTGGCTCCTTCACCTCACTCGACAAGCGGCTACGTCCTCCCCTCCCTCCCAGCTCCCCAGGCAGCTGGTTACATAACTGGGGATCTGCATTATTTATGACCACTGATTATTTTTTAATTCTGTGATTATGTTATTTATTGTCTTCCTGGGGGGCTGTGGAGCTGGGGAGGGGGGAGAGAGTTGACTGTGATTCATGACTCTCATCCTGCAATTTGGCCTAATTGGCCAGGGAGCCTCGTGAATCTGTCCAGAGGAGGGGAACGCAGAGGGAAAAGGGACGAAAGGAAGGTGAGAAAAAAGAAGAAGAAGAAAAACTCTGCACAATTCTTGCTGAGCTGCAGGTGATGGAGCTGACCCACTTCGGCACAGCTCCGTGGTCCCCAGCCTCTCCTGCCCCAGCTGCTTCCTGGCTGGGCCACGTTCATCTCGTGCCCACACGGCCCCTGTCTCTCCGTGCCGCCCCATACACAGCCCCTTGCCCAGGGGACTGCACAGCAGTTAGCGGGCCTGTTCCCTGTGAAAATCGGGCTGGGGGCGGGCCCTCCGCGGCCACCCTAGCTGGGCAGCTGTGCCAAGTTAGGTCTCCCCCCATGGTGAACCCGAGGATCATTTATGAGCCCCCATGCTGAGTGACATCTTGGGGAGGAGGAGAAGGCCACGTAACTGCTTAAGATAAGCTCAACAGCTGGAGGGCAAGGATGAGGGCCCTTGCCTCTGACCTTGGAGCCCCCCAGCTGCTGGGGAACTGGCAGAGCAGTGGGGAGGCAGATTCCAACCCAGAACCACAAGCAGGAGGTTCCTGGAGAGCATGTGGGGTTCTCACTGAGGGTATATCTGAATTTCATACCATGGCCTGCAAGGCTCTGTGTAATCTGACTCCCTGCTCTCTTGACCTTTCTTCCTGCTTTTCTCCTCCCGGTTCACTCCACTCCAGCCGCCCTGGCTTCCTTCTTGCTGATCCCGAACTTGCCAAGTACACTTCCACACTTCCTCCTTAGGACCTTTGTACTAGCTGCTCCCACTGCCCGGAAGGCTCTTCTCCTAGATATCTATTTGTCTTGTACTGTCTTTCCCTTTGGGTCTCTGTTCAAAAGGCATCTCATTGGAGACCCTATCCCCCCATCAGTGTCACTCTCTGCCCCTTTCCATGCGGGAAGAGGGTGGCACTGTCCACTGCAGGAGATGTTGAAGGGTACCAGCCAGGAGGCCAGGGGCCTGGCTTAGACCACCCTGATCATGGCTAAGAAGCTCACAGGACTCCAAAAGAGCAAGGCCACACCTGGAGTAAGGCGCAGGCCAGTGCAAGGATGTCTCATTAATAATATCTAAAAGATGGGGAGCTAGTTTGGGGTCCATCTCTGTGCTAAGGACTTTATACATGGTATCACATTTAATTCTTACAACAAGCCTGGGGCTGGTCTCGGAGGCATAAAATTCAGTATCCTCATTTGCCAGAAGATAGAAGCCCAGAAAGGTGAAGTAACTTCACCAAGTTCACACAGCTAGGAAGGGGGAAGACCTCGGATTTGAACCAGAGACCTCTGACCGCAAGAGCCCGTGCTCTTAGCCTCTGGGCTGCGCTGCATCTCTGAGTTAAGATGCACAGAATTTTGTGGAGCTTCGAGAGCCTGCTGGGATTGGCCTGGCATCCTGGGGTCTTGGGGGACCTAGGAGAATGAGGGCTAATTAATGATCGACTGTCACATCCCTCTGCAGTAGTTTCAGCTTTCAAAGCACTTTTGCATTCCTCACCTCTCCTAGTCCATTAAGGTACTTTCCCCACCCGTAGGACAGAACTTGCTTCCTATCACACGGGGAGCCCCGTGAGGGCTATAGCAGGGGTCTGGAAGGGCGGGGGAGGTATGGGAGAGAGAACTCCGAAACCTTTAGGGCTGTGAGTGCTAGCCCCCCTTACCACATGCCAAGCCCCAGATAAATCTTTGTAAGAGCACTCTGAGATGAGAATGATCAGCGTCCCCATTTCAGAGATGAGTAGCCTGAGGCTCAGGGGCTTGGAGAGGAAGCGCTTTAGTGTCTCTCATCTTTCTATGAATTTCAGGCTGTGTGCTCAAGAGGATAAGGAGAATCTGCCATGATCCGTGGTATCTGGGGCTAGGGAAGTTGAGCAGCAGCAAGAGGAGGAGGGTGGCCTTGCTTCTTCAGTCAAGCAGCCTGTGCTCTACCCCGGCAGTCTTGCATGTGAATCTTGTCTTCCCATCTAAGCGTTTTGCTCTCCTGGGATGAGCACCCAGCTCAGTGAGCCCTGAGCTGGTGGTGTCTGGGGAAGGGGGTATAATGAGCAAACAAGTACCTGCCTCCACCCTCTCAACCTTGGGTCTACCCATGCCCCCGATGGAAAAATGCCACACAAAGGGACTGAGAAGAGCCAGGTAGATCCAGCTTTAGAAGCCCCCTTGGAGGATCAAGAGCCAAGATCACAACCCCTTACCCCAAACCAAGGCCTGGCCCTCCCACTGGGTAACTCCATTCCTGACAAATCCCATCCCACAGGAAGTCAGCTATGGTGTCTCCTCTTCTGCCTGGGTCTCCCAGAGCCTCACCTGCCTTCCCCAACACTCACTTCTGCCCATCACCCCATGTCCAAACCCTGCTTGGCGGGGGGGAGTTCTGAGGCCTGCCCCCCTCCCAGCTGGGTGCCATTGGCAGCGGGCAGGCAGTGGCATACGGGGTAGATACTGGTTGCCATAGCAACCTGCCAAAGTCTTGGGTGGAGGCACATGGCCTCCAGGGTGTATAGGGGGAGGGAACACATCTCTCTCTGTCCTGGCTCAGGCCTTTGGGCTGCACAGCCTGTGAACCTGAGGCTCTGCAGTTCAAGACAGGGGGGGCAGGTGAGTGTATGTGCTGAGAAGGGAGAGAGAGAACATCTAAAAGATCTGCAAATAAATCCCAGTGCTTCTGATCTCCCTGCCTCATCCACAGAAGGGCACCCCCCTCAGAGCATCACAGCATGTGTGAAAGAGAGCATCTTTAGAAGGCCCCAGTCAAAATGCAAAAAAGATCACCTCCTAGCCCACCGGCTCCAGCCTCAGAGAGGCAACAGGAACCTGAGTTCTAGTTAGTTCTGCCCCTGGTAGGCTGTGTGACCTAGGATAAGCCCCTAGCCCTCTCTGGGCCTCAGGTTCTTCAAACAGAAAATGGACAGGGCTGGTACGGATGACCTGTGAGGTGTCTTTAAGTTCTGGAGGACTATGCCTGGGTGGACAGGGGAGGCGGATCTTGGAAGATGCTCAGTTGAGAGTAGGTTCTGTGCTGTATGATTTCCAGGCTTAGAGTCAGTCCTGGCTCTTTTCTGGGTGGGCTCTTTTCTGGCATAGGTCCCATGCCCCTGCCCAGGACTGAGACTCCAGATGGTTCCCATGGCCCTGATGGACCCACAGAGCATATAGAGAAAGATGGGGTGGGGAGGGAGGAAGAGGGGTTGTGGTGCTTTGGACCAGTGAGGGTGGGGGAGGAGGGGTTGCTCAGGGCCATGGGGCCTTTGACCACAAGGCTGATTCTGGACTGAGTAGCTGCCCCGCCCCAGCTCAGTTCATGTCCCAGCCTCTCCACAACCCCTCTGCTCTGGATACAGCTCCCTCCAAACATCTCCTGCTCTTTGGCTCTCAGGCCAGGCTGGGGGTGGCACCCACCATCACCCCCTCTCCTCAATCTTCCTGGAGCCCCCATCCTCCCGCATGGCTGGCTGGGGAAAGCAGGAACCCATAACTCCCGTTAAATCACTTGCTCTACCGTCTCTGCAGGGGCCCTGGTTACAGGGAGTTGAAATTTGCCTAAAGCCCACCTGGCTGGCATAATGGCACCCAGTGGGCAAATTCAGGCCAGTGGCTCAGAACTCTGGTCATGCATTTTGGGCTTGAACACAGCCCAGGGGGCAGGGCTGAGGACATGTGTACCTCATTACCCCGGCGATGTGGGAAGTAGTCATTAAACCAGGCTCCACTTAGAGAGACAGAGAGGGACACACATCCCAGGATCTCTCAGTGACTTTTCAGCCTTGGCCGAACCATTCAGAACTGTGGACAGGGATGTATGCCTTTAGACGAGATTCCTGCCCCCGCCGCCCAATGTACACAGGAACTCTGGTATCCACTAGCAGCCCCCTGGACGCATTCCCACCTCAGGGCAGGGAGGGCATAGCTGGCTTCAACTTTTCCAGAATCAAGGGTTCTGAGTAGCTGTGTGATTTCTGGAGAATGCTCTGAGCTGGGCTTCCTCAGTAGGGCTGTCAACACCCTCCCAGAGCCGCTTCTGAGCAGGTCAACGTCTGGGAGGCAGATGGCGGGGTCAGAAGCCAGCTTGGGCCCCAGAAGAGTGTCTCCCACTAAGAGGCTATGGTGGGATTTGGTCTATATTTGTCAACTTGGCAGCGCTGAGTGCTAACCACAGAACCGTGGGCCCGCGACATGCTGCCCAAGCAGACTCTGCCACACTGGGGCCCCACTAGTCCTGGAGTATGCTGAGATTTCTAGCAAAGCAGATTTGGGGGAAAGGAGAACAAGGAAAAGGAAGTACCCAGCAAAGTGACATGTGTGCACACGACTTTGAGTACACACACACACTGAAACACATATGTGAGTGTGTTTTTGTGCCAGGCCCAGGAAAACTGGTCTGGGGACTGTCTGGCCCCTCACTCACCTCCCTTAGCTCCTTGGCCACCTCCTTGAGTTCCTGCAGGATGCCCTCGAGCTGCCCGATGACCATCTTCATGCGCTGTCGGATCCGCTCCCGCTGGCCACCACTGCTGGGGTCGTCACTGGGCTGCCCGAGGTCCGGGGCGCCCCGAATGTTCATCCTTTACCACGTCGCTGCAGGCCCGCCCATATTCCCCCCAGCCGGGGACACGCTGCGTCTGCCTCCACGGAGCCCCCCTCGGCCAGGCCGAGCTCCACATCTTAACGGCCCCCCAGCCCACCCTGGCCCTGGGTGGCCCTCACCCGGCCCCTGCCCCCTGCCACCCCGCCTCCTCTGCCTCTGGGTGGGGAATGGGACACCCAGAGGAAGACAGAGTCTGACAGAGGGGGTCAAGGTGAGGACACAGGAGGACAGGGGGAGGGGCCTTGGGTCTCAGGAGTGGCCTCCAGGACTTGAAGTGTCCGTGCCTATGCTGAGCTGATCTCTGGCTGAGCCTGGACACAGAGGCAGGGGGATGACTCTGCAGGGACTGAGGGTAAGAGATGCCCTTGGGATGGGGGAAGGCAGCAGTAATCCCTCACAACTCCTAGGCAGTTGCAAAGACAGAGGTCTTGGGGTGCAACTGACACTTGGAGAGGGACGGTGGCTGGGGTCTTCCAGATGTGGATGTGGAGGGGGCTCCAGATGTGGGTAGCTCTGAAAAGGGAGCTGGACGGAGAAGGGCAGCCCCCTGCAGAGAGAGCAAGCCTGGCGTCAGCCCTCCCAGGCTGCAGCACCAGCCGGCAATGCCGCTGCCTCCCTCCTCTCGCCAGCCTGCACCCTTCGTCGCTGAGGATTTTTTTTTTTTCTTTGTGGGGAGGGGTGGTGGAGGCAGATTATCTACAGCATAGCCCTTACTCCAGAAGGAAATGAAGGAGCCCCTGCTTTAAAGGCAGAAGTCCTCAGCCTGCTCCGGGGCACTCTGCCCCAGCTCCCCCAATCCCCCGTGTCTCCAGCCCCCCCCCCAGCCAGGCCTGGTTCCGCTGGTTCCGGAGAGGGCCTCTCCAGTCATCTGTCCTCCCTCCGAGTGCCCCCGGGGTGCCCTCACTCCCAGAGGACCCTCCCTTCCCCAGCCCCGCCTTTCCGCTGAACCCCCACTCTGCTCCCGGACTCACCAACGGTGCGGGCACCGGCCTTCGTTCCCAGCAGCGTCGGGGGACAAGCCCCAAGAGGAGGTTGGGGGGCCCCCAAGGCTCCCTAGGGCGGGCTTCTCTCTCTGGACCCTTCGGCCCCTGGCCTCAGGGAGGTCCTCAGAGCAGCCACGGGAGACATCTGGACGGTGGGAGGGGGCGGGGCCTCCGCGCTCCAAGGAAGGGGGCAGGAAAAATCTCCCCCAACCTCCGCCGGGCTTCGGGTCGGGAACGAGCGAGGGTCCGGCGGGCTCGGGGCTCCGAGGCCACAGGTGACCCGGGCGCAGGGCGACCGAGGCGACGCCGGGCCGGTCCCAGCGCGTGAGCCAAAGTCGGAAGGATCGGAGGGCGCCGGGATCCCCTCAGCCCACGCCTGGCATCCGCCGGGCTCGGCACAGTCCGGGATTCGCTCTGTCCAGTTCAGATCGGCCGGCTCCAGGCTCCGCCGGGGTCTGCCTGCCCTGCCCGCAGTGAGCGGGCACCGCTGGGCGCCCGGGGCGCGCTCAGCCCGGACCCAGAAGGTCCGCTCTCTGGCACCCACGGCGTCCGGGGCGGCCGCGAGGGTTCGCTCAGCCCGGCGTCGTCGTCCGCCGGGGGTGAGAACGCGCCCACCGCTCAATCCGCGGTCGGGAAGGTCCTGGGGGGAGGGGCGGCGGCGGCGGCCGCGGGGACCGGGTCCCCACCGGGCCCGGCCGAGAGCGCGCGAGGCAGGGGGCCCGGCCGGGCTGGGTTCGGAGGCCCAGGCGCGGGCGGGAGCGGCGCCGGGCGGAGCAGAGGAGGCGAGGAGAGCGAGAGGAGGAGGCGAGGCGCAGGGAAGGCAGGGGAGGGGGCGCGCGGCGGGCCCGGGCGGGCCCGGGCGCACGGGGCTCTCAGCCTCCGCTCCGCTCCCGCCGCCCCCCCCGCCCGCTCCCGCTCGGCTCGCCGCCTCGCCAGCCCCCGGGCGCGCCGGGTCGCTGCCGGTGGGGCAGACCGGCGCGGGGTCGGGGCTGGGCCTCCCTCCGCTGCCTCGCCCTGCCCTGCCCCGCCGGGGCTCCGCGGGCCTGGGCCCTCTCCCCGAGCGCCACGCC